AAACTTATATATATATATATATATATATATATATATATACTATATATACTTATATGAAGTGGAACTTGAGCTAAATCGTTTATATTTTCCTTTTTTAGTACCTACTACTACTTTCATGAGCTACTACATTTTGTTAAATCTAATTTAAAGATTTAATTTTGTTTTCAAAATACGATATATATCACTAGATTTTACTGTCGAACATTTCTCAGTACTATTTGCAGCTCTAGTCTAGTCGAATGCCTCTCGAATGCTGAACTGACTGATATATTTCGAATTTGGTATTGGCTAAGATTACGGAGTAGTATTAGGTATATCATTGATTTGTATACATACTGCATATGATGGGATTGGAGCAGACCTGCAGCGTTTCAGTGCTGCCATCGTCACGTGTTAGCTGCGTGCGAAAGACCATGCGACAACGTGTTGACTTCTTCTTGTTCTTCTGGGCCAGATGCTCCGGAAAGCGATGCTCCACGTCGACATTGCGTTCCTGCAGCCGATGCAAAGATGCAAACAGTTGTCAGCTGAGATTAGCCATAGAGTTAGTGATAGCGCCTACCTTAAGGATGCCAACGCAATCGCAGGTGATGGTCATGTCCGTTTCGGGCTTGAAGTCAATCTCGATGACCATGGTGCCGTCGACCTTCTTCTCGTTGCACTGCGTCGAATTCTTGCCAGCCACCTTGCACGCCTGATAGAACATGTGCGGCGCGACCCGTCCAATGTCCGTTCCGATGAACACCTGCAGCACGGCGGGCTTATCGTAGCCCGTTAGCCGGACAATCGGAAATCCGTTGCCGCTGCGATCCTTGACGGCGCCGCGGCTGCCCTCGGTCTGGTAGCGTGCACGATGCTGTTGCTCCGGCTGCGACACGATCTCCAGCTGCACATGGCTATCATTGGAGCTGGCGATGCTGTTCAGCGGCGTCGTGGGCTGTCGCTTGTTGGCCACGCGGGTTACGGCGCGTGTGCCAATGAATCTGCGAATGGGCATTGAAACAACAATGTAAACAAATGATCATCACACTTGGCGCCAAAAGGTCAAAGTTCAATGGAACTCTGTGTGCAATGATGAGAGGCGGGCGCGGGCAATTAATAGAGAAAAAAAAAACGATAACAAAACCAAATCATAAAAAGCTCAAATCAAAGGTGCAAAATGTGGCCAATGAATGCAGCGGCAAATGCGTACGCAAAACTTGTTCTTCTTGACTGCAAAACTCTAAGAAAATTCCAAATATTCTACTATGGCATATGTATATGTGTGTATATGTATGTATGTACATGTTTATGATATGGAATTCTATGCAGGAGAGCATGCGTGTGTCTGGCATATGCGTATTCATGTTTTATAATAAAGAATTTAGTGCTACACGTGCTGACCCAGGATGATTTTTGAATTGATGGCGAAATGATATATGAACTATATAATACACACACACACACACACACGCACACACAGAGAGAGGGAGAGACAGTACGCATCACAATTAGACATATGTACATAACAAACGAATAATATTTGTAAATTCTCGAAATGTTTTTTAACTGTTTCTTTTGCTGTATTTTTTCTTTTTGTATTGGAACATAAAAAGCATGAAAAATTAATTGTTGGAAAATGCCTAGGTTTGCAGTTATTTTCATGTTCTTTGTTTGATTGTTGTTGTTGTTGCTTTGTTTAAACATTTATTTTGATTTGAGTTTTATGCTTTTTAACTTGCTTTGCTTATTTGCTAACGTTTCATTTTGTTTACACACAGAGCTTAGAACAATGACCGATAGACGGAGAGCGAAAGTGAGAAAGACAGAGAGAGAGAGAGGGCGAATGGCGGGGTAGCTAGAGCAAGATAGATACAAACATGTTTACTCGACAAAAAGTCATATAAATTATTATTAAACAAATTTATTTCAATTGAATTATTTGAATCGAAATTTCAACTGCCAAGAATTTAAAGATTGTAAATATTTGTTGTTGTTGTTTTTTTTTATTTCTATTAATTGTTTGTCAAAATAAATATGAAATTTGCGCATTTATTTCTGTGAGATTTTTTCTTACATTTTTTTTTTTTACATTTTTAAAAGTAAACAAAAATCTGTTTACAAATTTATTTTTATTTATTTTTTTTTTAATTACAAAATTTTCTCATTTATACTTTTGTTAAAAAAAAAAAATAGTGAAAACTGTTTCTAAATATTTGTTATAAATATAAAAAATAGGATTTTTTATTATTTTAAACGAACTGATTTATTTTAGATTTATTTATTTTTTTGATGTAAAAAAAAAAAAAAACAATAATAAATTTTGAAAATTTTTCGTTAATATGTTTTATTGACAAAGTTTCTATTTAGCCCATCTGATTTATACAATTTAAATAATTTATCAGTTTTTCGTACTCAATATGAGTAAATATGAAATTAATTTGTTCAAGCGAAAATTTCAAATTTATTTTTTCAAGACGAGATCTGTTCAGTTTCATTCGGAACAAATGCAAAATGTTCTAAAATTTTCTTGTTTGTTTGCTTTGAGTTTTGGTTGTTGTTTTAGCCTTTGTATTTCATTCTTTGGAAGGAAAAAGAAGAGGAGAAGAGGAACAAGAAGAAGGGAATTCGCCCGCTTACTTTGGCTCACTGTGGTTCCTTCCTTTGCTGGCATAGCTCAGCGTTTCCCGTGCCGTATTCGGCTCAGCGCCCGGACTATTGTCGGCCGCAACGGTGGCAATTTTGCGTATAAACTCATCTTCGCTGCACGCATCATCGTTGTCCAGCTCCACCTGGTTGCACTCGAGCTTGCGGCGCTTCAGGTGCTTCCCACCACTGCGGCCACTGCTGGCACCGCTGCTGCCGCTGCTCTCCGCCTCGCTGGTGGTTTCCTGCTGCTGCAGCTGCAAATTTATTGTGGGATACTGAAAGAGCTGCTGGGGCAGTTGTTGGTGTTGCTGCTGCTGTTGCTGGTAGTGCTGCTGCTGCTGCAATTGTTGTGGCTGCTGCACGGTGAGCACCACATCGGCGGTCTTGTGGCGCAGCGTTGTGCTGAAGAGGCCACCGAACAGCTCGGAGCTGAGCGACGATATCGATGTTGCTGTTGTTGTTGCTGTCCCTGTTGCCTGATTGCTGTCGGTGCCGAAACCGGTGTCCTCATCGTTGCTCGGCGGCGTCACCAGCTCGTCCACGAATGTTGGCGATGAGTCCGATTCAATTTCGTCCAGATAGTTAAGCATTTTCTGGGCATGTCGCGATCTATATTTAGGTACATACATATATGCATACATATATATATATTTAGAGACATATACAGTTATATTGGGTATATGCGGTTTGAACTGCTTATTAGCAGTATTATTGATACTCTGATCTGGTGCGAAATTTGAATTGTTTATATTATTGACTAATTTCGGGGCTTTCGTGTTATACAATACGAAACAATAATCAGCAGAATCATGTTTGAGATGGTTCACTGAGGTACAAACACTTCGTTTCGAATTGTGTAATGCAAGCTTTTGCTCTATCATAACCTGTATCAAATTACAATCAAAGCACTGGGCGAACTAAACTCAAGATATGTGAATATATAAACAGATGAGAGTTGGTGCCACTTTTGGTATAGCATCCAAGCAGATGAACATCATTTCAAGTTGCAGTCGAACCTTTGAATGTTCTTATGCTGCTTGGTTCAGTTGAACTAGTTCACATACATGTGCCTATATGCACATTCAAATGTACATACATATAAGTCATTGATATATACTTAATGTTCATTTGTTTTTGGTGAAAAAAAAAGTGAACTTGGAACTAGTTCAAAGTAGAACTAGTTCAACGTGAACTTAGAACTAGTTCAAAGTAGCTAAAACTCTTGTAAAATACGAGCTGAGCATAAGCTTTTTGAGATTAGAGAACTACATTAAAAATTATCAGCCAATATTTTCTTTCAGCTATTTCTTGGAACTATTCAACATAGACAACTTCATCAAAGTCAAGGCATTGATATACCTATTTCGATTCCTTACTTTCAATGAACTCTTACATAGTTAGAGCCAACATACCAGAGAGCAAATAGAATTATATGATAGCTTCGATTAGGGCCGCTGTTACGGCATTGCAATGCAGGCTTTTGCATAGAATTAAAACCGATGTGCTCATAGTCAAGGTGATACAGTCAGAGGTAGCTGTATATATTTATATATTAATTCTATATATATACCCATATATATACATATATAAATAAACAAGTGCTGTTATGACACTAAACATTTCATAACATAACTTGATATTTGACAACGTGCAAAATCTCAATCAGTAACAGCAGAATCAGCAATTAGCAATTCGTAGCAATCGACTACAACTGACTGCCTAATGCTCGTTCGAAATTCACAAAATGTATAAACTCATGACACATAACACTCAAGGGGATTGTTTACAAAAACTAGACTGTCCAAACGGTCTACAGTATAGAGGGAGTATAAATTACAGATTCAAGAAGCACTTAGTTCTAGCTATAAAGCAATGGGAGACATCGCTTATAAGTAGAGTCAAAATTTTTTGCCATTTCTTACACTCCTTTCACAAAAGTCTCAAGTCTCTAGAAGGGAAATGCGAATATATTCAGTTTACAGGGTGAGGAACTATTGTTATATAGATTATACTTAAAGAAGAGATCTTTAATAAGCTCTAGTTCTACAATTAGAAATATAAAGAGCCAGAAGTTTTCAGATTTTTTCACATTGACTCTTCTCGCTGCTTGAGCGAGCATAATTGAAAGCTTTGCAATACTAATCAAAATAAGATCTATGTACAGCAATTATCACTAGAATTCTTTGCATCACAACATGGCGTATACGTAATAAATTCAAAAGATCTATTTATATACAGGCAAGAATCACAGAAATCAGAATGAAGTCGACGCAAGTGTCTGCCTAATGTACGGCAGATGTCATAACCTTATAAATATTTATATAAAATAAATTGTGATTTGAGCATTCAGTCATTCAATTCTAGACATCACAGCATAGCATAGACGCACACATTGACTTTACGTATACGTAATAAATTCGAATTATATACATATAGTAGGCGAATCCGAATTTAGAAAACGCAAGTAATAATCTCTAAAGGAATCCACAGAGCTGAGATTATTTTAGATAGATCAAATGGTGGACATAGGAGATTAGATATAAATTGATTTCAAAATAGCTTTTTTGTAATTATTGGTTTATAGCCCCAAAAAAATCTAAAAGATATTGTGACTATATATACACCCATTGAAGGCGTGGCATACCGAAAAACTGTATAGCCAAAACGACTATAATCCTGTTAACTTCCCAATGAGGGTTCGGTGAGTCGGCAAATGGATCTCGATCTAGATCTGAGGATCTAGATCCATGACGCCTGATTGCAACATTATTATTATATTATATTATATAAATATTTTTTTTTTTTTTGGAAATAATATATTGATTTTGCAGTTATGTCATTCAATTGATCACACACACAATTACATACATACATATAAATATCTACAGACTTTGGTTGAAACTGAGCGAAAACGAGTTGGTAGCACCCAGTTTGAGTCGATTAAACGATTAAGAATTGTATAAATCAAAAGAGAGCACTATTTACAAAGTCTTATTCCACTCAGTGACATAAAGACAAGGGCGATAAGCAGGAGGCTTTCGAGTAGCCGGCAAACTGAATCTCAACTGCAGTTGATAGAATTAGCTGATAAGATACAGTTCAATTACAGGCATTGAAATAATAATGGGTCATAAGTATTACTATTTTACTATATAATCAAACACACACATACACGAATACAATCCAAAGAATAACACTAGTTTCTAAACACATTCACCCTGACCTACAATGCCAGTAAATAAAAATATAAAAAAAAAAGTAAATGCATCGCGCAAAACCTGTCCATAAACCCAAAATTCTAAATTTTTCTTCTTCTTTTTTTTCGTTATTCACTCTTTAGTTTTGATTTTAATTTCAGCTCAAAGAAGCCATACGTTATTATAAGTTCAGCAATGCTTGAATTTAAATTAAATATTTATTTGGTATTTTTAAATTATTTTTTCTTTTATTTTTTTTTTATGGTATATGTAATTTAATGACAATTTTCATTGAAGCTTAATTTTTTTTTATATTTATGTAGTTTGTATTTCAGAACAATAATACTTTTGAGTAACTTGTTTATTCTATTTCAAAAATATAATACATATTAAAATAAATGAGTTGTTATAATTGCAAATTGCACGTTGGGATTTTATTTAACTTGTATATCTTTTTTCTAATTTTTAAATTATGTATGATGTTAATTATTATTATTATTATATTTTTTTATTTTACTAATTTTTTTAAATTTAATTTTTTAATTTATATGTATTATTTTAATTTTATTTAATTAGTCATTTATTTTTAATTTTATATTGACCATATTTAATTTTTGATTCATATTAATTTTGTTTATTTATTTTTACGTTTGGATTTGCTAACACTGATTTGTTTAACTTTTATTTTAAAAATTTTATTTTTCTTTTATTTAATTTTATTGAGTTTATTATACATATTTTCAAATATTCATTTTACGTTTTCATTGCAACTTTTTATTCATTATTTTAGTATTAAATTTATTTTTTATTTTCTTTCAAGTTTATCTAAATTATTTTAATTTTATTCAAGCGAAAATTGAAAAATCTAACCATTTGAAGAGATTATAAGTTATCCGAATAAATACACAAACACACAGGTGAATTTATATCATAAAATAAATATCAAGCATAGTGGAAAATCTCATTCAAATTCATTTTAAAGTTGTTAAAAAGAAAACCGGCGAGCGGCCACTGTAAACACCCTTTATATAAATATATAAAATAAATGTGCTGAGCGAGAAAAATGTTTGAAATTGATTAAGAGATTTATCAATTGAGAAAATGTGCTGAGCGATGAAAATTGAAATGCAAATGTCCCGGGATTTTCATGTGGCGCGCGACATGAATGCAATTATCTAAATGTTGTGTGAACTGGTCGCACGTCGCTTGGCCAAATGACTACATTCGAGATAACGCGACGAGATTCGATAGATGCGCGGCACTTACAGCGTTCTCATGCTGCCAAGAACTGGTTAAAGGGGAAGACACTTTGTCCAGTCAACTTTGAAGCGCTTCCTTACGAAAGCAAGTGCGGATCAGTACTGAAAGCCGTTGGCTGTTGGTCAGCGATATGGTAACCGTACTCCAAGCTCAACTTCGGAACTAAGCCGATTCTGTTTTTTTTTTTTTTTATTATTATTATTCTGTATAGAGCAACAATCGAATGGGCTTTGGCCAAATTAAACAATCGAGCTGGCTGGGCGTCCAGTGGCCCGCGTCTCAATTTGCGATATATTCAGCTCAACATCTAGCCTATGTGTGTGTGTGTGTGAGTGTGAGTGTGTTTACATGAATCGATGCTGGTGAGTGTGTGAGGAGAACTGAACAGCTGATTGAACGAAAGGGTAGATGGACTCACCTTGAAACAGGTATCGCGCGTATTAAATGCTGCTGCGGTGAATGTTGTTGCTGCTGTTGATGTTGCTGTTGATGCGGATGCTGTTGCTGTTGTTGTTGCTGCTGCTGCGGCTGATGATGCTGCTGCTGCTGCTGCAAAGAGCTGCTGCTTGCCGCACCTGCAGTCACACTATTTACTATCAGATTTGAATGCTGTCCACTGCCGGAGAGGCCAGTGCTGCTGCTGCTGCTGCTACAACTGCTGCTGCTACTACTGCTGTTGCTGCTGCTGCTGCTGCTGGGGTTGCTGCTCCTGGCATCGACGGCAACTGGGGCCGTGCCATTGCGCAGCTCCGTGTGCTGATCGAATCCCAAGCCACTGTCATTGGAATTGTCGCAGGGCGGCGGATGCGGTCGCTGTGGTATTCGTTTCCCCGGCACTAGCTTCCCCGGGCCCGTCTGCAAAACCACACGATGTTCATTGAGACTTAAATGATATGATATGATATGATAATGCTTACCCTGGCTATAGTGTGCAATTTGCCCGGCAGTCCCTTGCCCGGCTGTCTTTTCGATGGTATGCGAAAGCCTTTGCGATGGATGCGAGGACTCATCGTTGAGTTTGTGGACATGGTCATACGCATGCCTGGAAAAGAAGGAGAGAAAACATCAAAGGTTAAACTTAACTATTCCACTCGGGTAATATTTAACGTTATTGTCGTATGGGTTCCGACCGTAGAAGGATATGAAAGGAGATGAGAGGAGACTGGAAGCGAAAAGCAATGTAGAGAGGGAAGGTAAAGAGAAGAGATGAGAATGGAAATGAAGAGAAAATAAAAATTACGAGAAGAAGAGCAAAGAAAGAATAGAATAGTGGAAATAAGTAGGGAAGAGAAGAAACAATGGGAGAGTGGCTCAGTAGAGAAGAGTAGAAGAGAGATTATAAGAGAATAAAAGAGAAGACAAGCGGAGAGGTAAGAGATGAAGAGCAGATAGCAGAGGAGGGGAGGAAAAAGGCAGAGAAAAGACTTGAAGAGAAGGTAGAAAAACACTTTATTTATACAAGTCGATGATTATATATCCATAGATTATTATTGATATGATTGTATTCGTAGCATTCGGATCATAAAGATCTTTAACCATATTAATAGGTCTTAAAAAAATTAAATAAATAAATAAATAATTATGGAAGTAAATAACACTTTTTTTTTATATAATTCATAAACAAATCTCAACTAATTTGTATAAATGGACTTCAAGACTTTGCTAGAAGCAAAAAAAGCTAATTGCCTGAATTGAGAACCCTAGGCTTAAGGTTGATTCAAATTTCAATTCGAGAGCAAACAAAAAAACTGCAATTCGGTGTATAAACTGTTTGTGACTATGGTAATATGAAGATCCTTTCTATGAATCAGCCACTGAAATATGAGGCGAAGAGCTATTTCCCATGCCAAGTACGGAGGACAGAGGCGTATTCTAACAAAGACTTGACTAAGAACTCTTGCTTCGTGCTCTTTTCTCATAAATAAAAACCGGCCTAGAACGTAAGGCGCACTAAGACGTAATATTTATATATAATTGAAGCCCTATACACAAACACATCTGTTGAAGATAGCAATCTACAGATTATTACACAAATTGTAAATATTTTTGATGCCGCGTAGATGGAACAAGTAAATATATTTATATATATATAAAACAAAATCAAGATAAAACCTGTTGGAACCAGAATTCCTCGATAAGCATGACAAAATGAAAAGAAATCAAAAATTGCAACAAAGTGCGTTTAGCAGTTGGCGTTCGGAGCTCTGCTGCTCCGATCAAGAAAACATTTACATATATCTATAGGTATGTATGTATATGTGTATGTGGTGAATATCGTTACATACATACATGTACATATGTAGTTTATAGGCAGAGAGACACCGAATCAAGTGCCCCATGCGAACACAATGCAAAAATGGCTCGACTTTCAACGCTTTCGTGCTGCTGATAATGCAACGTGGATGCAGCTAGAGACACAGAGGTCATTGAACTCCATTGTACGCAAAATGCATACGAGTCCAGCATCTGTCGCATATGTACACATGTATATATATATATATACATATATATAAATAAATATATCTATATGGCTGCGCTCTGATTTTACAATTTATGTTTGTTGTAGACGACTTTGACTAGGACTCTATATATTATATATGTTTATACTTTATATATATTTATATGTATATGTATATCACATCGCTGCCCAGCTGTCATTGTTCATCCAATTGCACATCAAGTTGAGCTTTATTATTGCACTTTGGGCGCTCAATTGATGCACAATTTGTGAAGTTGTTCGCGTTCACTATGAATTATCATTGCTCAGTTGTTGCTGTTGCTGTTGCAGTTGCAGTTGCACTTAATAGCAACAATAAACAGACGAACTGCAGCAACGAACGAGCTGATAACGCACAGACGGAGACGCCGTCCAAGCAACCCGTTCGCATCTGCATTGATGACAAGCTCTCCGATTTGCAAGTGAATACATATACATATATACTTATATATATATACATATTTATAATTTTTCTATATTTCATTGCAAGCTGTTTACATTTGATTGCCTTTTATTTATATTTAGAGTATATATTAAATATTTGTAGATTTATATATAGATATTATAAGCGTGATACAGAGAGGAATAGAAGATAATTGAGCATGATATTCGTCTCAGAACTTCTTCCAGCTCTTATACCGATCTGCCATCATTCTATGGAAAGATTTTGATTGATCACAATTTTCAAAATTTTAATCGAAAGATATCACCTAGAAGCGACTTAAGTAAACGGAAAGCCATTCACAAAACGCTAATGAGAAACACTTGTTTCGCATATTAGTGAACACAAATTACCAAATGATCGAGAAATACTTAATCAATTTGGACAATTAAGTCATTTTTTATTTATTTATATATATATATATATATATTTTTATAGATACATTTCATATACAAATGTTTTGAGACGGGGGTACCAAATAGTAGAGCTAAAACAATTTCACTGTCTGTTACCAAGCTGTTGAGAGCCTTGACTCTATAAAGATATTTCACATTGATAAGCTAGGCATTTTTTTGGTGTTGCCCTACGGGCACCAGATCATGACTAAATTTTCAAAATTTTGATACGACATAAATTAAGCATTGATTGTTTTCAAGATAAGATACAAACGCGCCAAACGAAATATACATAATTTTCGCTCTAGTTGCCAGTCAATAAACAATAATTTCTGTCTAGCTTTTCATACTCATCATGAAAGTGAAATGAGTATATTCGTTTTTTGCAATGTTCGTATTAATTTATTTAAATGCTATTGAAGCTAGAGCTTTGATATTTTGAGCCTCAACTTAAATAGTGTCGAGATCCAGCCACTAGAGGTACGGCAAATTAGAAAAACTTTCTTTTCTAAAATTTTAAGGCTAGAAACTTTAAGCTTATCCGAAAATGAATTTGTCAGCGCCTGTTCCCTGAATAGATATTCCGCAGTCGTATGACTCCAATATTCCGACTAGCTTGCTTTGTGAAAATTTCATTAAAAGAAGTAGGTAAGATGTAGAACAACCAATAACAAATAAATATATGTATATACATATGTATATATGCATTTGCATAAACTATATTAATAATCCTAGCTTAGTTCTCAGTTTGGCATTTGATTTGCTAATTTCTTGCCTGCAAAGTCAAGTTCATGCCAAAAGTAACCTTTGAGCTGAAGTCTTGAAAGAGACACGCACATATGCCTAGCTGACATCATGGGTTTTATGATCCCACGTTCGCAGAGGCAACAACCCAATGCGCTGGGGTACCTGTGCCAGGGCTGTGTTACCTGGTTACCTGCCCACTGACGCGGCTCTTTATCTAAGCGCCTGCGATAAGACAAGCCAATCCGTGCCGTACCCGAGACCCGTACTCTATAACCCACCCACACACACACACGCAGAAAAGAGCGCGCCTTTTCACACTCGAGGCGTTGTGTTTTTTTATTTTATTTTTTTATCTGCAATCCAACGAGATAAGATTTACTTATTTTTTTCATTTTTTTTTTTTATTATTTAATTTTTTTCTTAGAACGTTTTTTATGTAATTTCGTCGTCTTGAATTGGCATACAAAAAGCTGCTTAATTCAATTGACAGCTTTGTGTATTAGATCATAGAGCAAATGATCTTGGATTCTTCTTTATATTATCATAATGCGAATCTAGATAAATGTATAAATAAATAGATACAACATTGTATCAAATTGATAATTATAAGAATAAGTATACATTTCTATAGAAACTCATATATCATACGAATTAACTGTCTTCGATCTAATCAGCTTATCATTATTGATAACATCATTTTTTGAGACAAAGAAAATATAAAAACACTTTAAACAAAATCAAATCGAACCTAGATTTATTTCAACCAATTGCAATTATATTAATGATTTTTGGCTTTAATCTTATCGCTAGACAAAATTGGTTAACAGACAAATTAAATGTATATTATATAGGCAGTCATATCATCATGTATGACTGGCTCTAGATGAAATTGTAATCCGAACTTGATTCGAATAATACATTCCCTTCTAACCAATTCAAAAAAAAAAAAAAATAAATAAATAAATAAATAAAGAAATAAATAAATATAAATAAATAATTCATATTTATCAACAAGCTGCCGGCTTTTCGTTTTCTGACTGGAATGTGAATCTGATTTAGAGATTCCATTGACGCACGTTGACGCTCTAAAAAGAGTTGCTCCGCACTCGACATTTATCAGCTGAGATTACTTATAAAGTGCAACAGATCATTTGTGATATCTCCTGAGCACAGCCCAAGTAAGTATATGAAACACATTTCGTAGAGCTTAATTAGGCACGATTTCGGACAACATTTCACGCATTACAGTGCGCTGTTATTAACAGAATTTTGAGGTATTTAATAATTTTTTTTGAACTCTTATATTTATCTATTGCATTGACGTTTTAGACTTTTTTAAAGCGACATTTATTTATTTCTTGACCTTTTTTGTCTTATATTATTATTATTATTATTATTAGTATTAATATTATTATTATTATTATTATTATTATTATTATTATTATTATTATTATTATTATTATT